TGGCACTCTCCTCTAAACTATCAGTGAATTTTCTTTAGCTGCCTTAAGCTTGCCTAAGCACGTGGGTGACCTTGGCTGCTCTGTCATGTTCTTGCATCTTAGATGTCCATGTGCTTCCACCTGGACCTGGCCCTGAGGCCACTTTGACCAGCTCCTCTTCTGGTCATGCTGGTTCTCAGCACCTGCTGTCTGCCCACCCCTGCAGCCACACTGTGCTGCACAGCCCCCACACAGACATCCTGGGGGGCTGCAGCAGATCCAGGATGTGCTTTGCTTTACCCAGGAGGCATTAATTCTCTTCCAGTGAAGTCTGGAAGAAGAAAGGGTCCTGCTGTGATTTGCACCCCAGTCAAGGGGCTCCAGCTCCCAGCTCTGCTGGGCTTTTCACTGGAGCAGTGAGTGGCAGAGCTTGTTCTTGCTGTAAATCGCACAAACCTGTTCTGTCAGAGCTGGGTGAGGGGCTGTCTGATTGTACACATCTATCCACAAACCTGATGCCTCACTCTGGTGTTGGGATTTGCTGAGTGACTGTTTCAGATATTTCTTAGTTAAGTGCCCAGGTGCTTTTGGTGAAAAATGCCAAACCTGTACAGTTCAGCCTTCTGCATAGATTCTCCATTTCTAACCCAGGGGGAGTAGCCCTTGATTTCTAAAAGCAGTTTATCGTTTGGCTTTTCTACTTTTTCAGCTTTTGGGTGAGTCTTCAGCATTGCTTGGAATTCAGGGGCCGTTTAGAATATTGTGCTGAACACTCGAAATCATTTAGTGCATCCTAAGGAAAAAAAAACAAAAGTCTTGATGTTTTGATTTCTAAATGCCACGTGCAAAGAGAAGATTTACCAGTGTGTCAGTAATACCTGGTGAAAAGAGAGCTGACTGGCATTAGCTGTGTTATTTCCTGAAGCAGGACTTGCTCTATTAAGAGTTTTTCTATTGTCTCTTCCTTTGTGCTCCTTTAGCTCATATTTCTCTCCCCCACCCCACTGTCCTGTGTTTGCATCTTGAATTAGTGTTGGGCTTACTGTGTCTTTCCCTCCCTTTCAGTTTGCTGCTGTTCCCTCTCTTGTGTTCTTGCATGTGCAGAGAACAAAGTGTATCAGCGCTGACCACTCTGCTCTGAACCTGGAATTCACACCTTCCTTTCACCTCATTTTTTATTCTTATTTTAATCAAGTCCCCACCACAGCCTCTCTTAGTACATCATTGGGGTGATAGCCAGGCTCTAATCAGCATGCATATGACAGCTTCAGTGGGGCTTTGCTGCTGCTGATTCAAGCACTGAAAAACTGAAGTCTCTCTTTGTCTCTTCCCCCTCTCCCTGCATAGTTTCAGCAGCCTCACTGCCAGCTGCTGCTCCCACCCTCCCTCTAGGGCAGTCTGCTCCTCCTGCTCTGCGTGGCACGGTTGGAGGACAGACCTCACCCACTCGTGCTGATGTGAGAGGCTGAGGAGATGCCACTCCTGACTCTGCATCTCTCCCAGCCCCCTCAGGGAGCTGCTGAAGGGCTGCAGGGCAGCACCTCCCACACAAAGGCCTGGAGCCAGCACAGACCTGCAGCAGGGAGATGTGCTGTGGGTTGATGATTGATTCTATTGTAACTTGCATGAATTGTTCCTTGTAGCCAAACTGGACCCATAACCTTGCTGTAAAGAGATTTTTGCCCCCTTTTATAGACTTCTGCAGGCTCACTTGAGCATGTGTATAGGCAAGATGCTAGCAGACCGACTTCCAAGCTTCTGTTTGAACCTCTGCTTGTTGGGGTTTCGTGGTGTCCTGGTGCAGTGTGTGACATCCCACTCACGGATCCTTGTCCTGCCTGAGGGGCCTCCTGCACAGAGACAAGCTGCCAGAAAATACTGAAAAGTGGCTTTGCTTGTCTCTGTCACACCGACAGATGCGCACTGTGACTCCACGTATGCAACCGTCCCACCTTCGCCTCCCAGCCTGCGCTGGGTTTTGCCATCACACCCACCTGGATCCAAGTTGCTCTCGGTCTCGACCAGACTGCAATAGAAACCTTCTCCTCCCTTCCAGCAACCAAGGAGCTGCAGCGTCTCAGCACGCCTCTTCCCACCCCTGCTCCGGAACGGGAACGCTCTGACCCGTCCCTGCACCGATGGTCTGAAACTGTTCCTGGAGGGGTGTTTGGTGACCTTGCCCAAAGCAATATAAAGACTTTGGATTTTATTGCTGAAGAGGGAAGACAACCAAGTTTTTCATTCTGGTGCTAGAACACTCTCCAGTGGTGCTCTCACAGTTGTGAAGCCTTTGCTTGAAGAATCCACGAGTGTGTGAGTGTGACTGAGTGTGTGTGTGTGTGTGTGCAGGTGTATAAAAACATCTGGAGGGTTTCTTCATTTCAAAAGACCTGAGCCCGTGTTTGTCTTTATATTGTTGGCCTTAATCTAGCTCGTAGATACTGTGTCTCTCTTGCTGCTCTTTTCTATATGAAGCTGGTTTGGAGGAAACAAAAGTTGATCTGGTCCCCCTGTAAAAGTCTTCGTGACTGGTGGTGTTGATCTTCATAAAGCGTTGGTCAGGGGGAAGATTTTTATTTTTCTAATCTTTTTCCTACTGCAGAAATTGTTGGAGTGGAATGGAAAAGATCTTTACAAAATGGTCTGATAAAGGTGTGAGCATTACTTAATAATACCAACAGTTAATGATCAGGTGGAGTATAAATGAGCTCTATTTCCAGGCCTTTTCCATTTCCTACCTTCCACTGGAAATGCCCAGGTACTTTTTCTTTGGATATGAGCTTGTTAGGCATGTTCTGAGACCTTGCAGATACTGTAGATGATTTTGCTGTTCCGACTTAGAAAGAATTTGGATTTTAGAGTTTGGTTCCAGTTCCACAGTCTGGGTAGTTTGGCAGATGTGACAAATATTATGCACATATCTATTTGATGGGATAGAGGGGATTGGTAGATCGAGCTGTTTATCTTTTTACATAAAATTTTAGACATTAAACTGGTCACTCTGGGGGGTGGGGGGAAAGAACTGGCACGTGTAGGCCAGATTCACTGAATTTTAGGCTGTTCAAGCAACTGATTTGGCCTGTGAATGTTGAATTCCCACTCCATTTTCTTGGGTGATGGGAACATCTGTAAAACACTGCTGAACTGGCTGGGTTCCTTAAAACAGGGCAGCTGGGATGAAGGGCTTGTGTTGCCTGTGGATGCTGCTATATCTTTTCTTCCAAGCACCATTCCTGGAAATAACGATGGTCTTAACCTCTCTCACAGACATTTGTTAAAAGGCTAGAAAGGGCCAATTTGGCCAACTTTTTTTTTTTTTCTTTTTTCTTTTCTGCATCCAGAAATTATCGTCACTGTGTCCTGTGGTGGGAGTAAGGTACAGAGTACTTTTGGACTGAATGGGTATCTAGAGAGGGTGAGGAGGACAATTTCAAGTCCTAAACCTTATTTCCTGTGAAAGAAAGACTGTGTGTTATGTGTGTATCCTTCTTTGGGGAGCTCTATCACTGTACAGTTTAGTTAAACATGCTCCAAGGAAGGGGAAGCTGTTCCTCAGAGGTTTTTAGTTCATGCTTTGTGTTTAAAGAAGAATATTTTTCTTTAAAAAATAAAAATGGGTAAGTTTTCACCTCAGTGTGTGTGGTCCAGTTATATGCACACCGTACTTTTGTGTTCATCTGGCACTTAAGGGATTTTTTTTTGGTCTGTGAGAGGGTGACCAAGAGTGTTTTGTGCATTATTGTATAGTCTTAAATGTATGTTTTTATTTTGTAATATAAGTTAAGGGACAGGCGGTATAAGCTTTTGGACATAGTCTTTCTGAACACAGGTTTCAAAGGCTGTAATTTTCCTCCATTTATACTTCTGTGACTCACAGTTTTTTAAAATGGGCTGCTAATTTGTCTTTAAATACCTGGAGAAGTTCTGTATATTGCTGTGCAGGAGGGAATGCACTTCTCAGGCACTTTTCCCCCTGCTCTTTCAGTGTGAAAGACCTCTTTGGTTCTGCAGCCTGTTTTTATATTCATCAGTGCTCTTGTGTTTAACTGCTTTTGCATTACAGAGGGCAGAAAAACCGCTGTGACCATACTACTGAGTCTTTGCTCCATCAGAGCTCCCTTCTGCTCCTGGCAGATTTGTTGTAACCAACAGGGGTGTTTCATTCTTAGCTATTCAAATATTTCCATCCAGCCCGGTGGAAGTTTTCTGTTCAAAGACCTGTGCAGTATTTTTAAAATATGAGCCACCACTGTGGAGCTATTGTTGGTAGTTTCGTAAATGGGAACAGCAGCCTGATAGTCATTGATTCTTCTCCTGTTTCTTAGCTCTGTACAACTTTTGGAAAAGAGGGACTGATTCCTTCCAAAAACCCTTCCAGATTTTTTTTTTCTTTTTAAATTGGGGCGCTTTTGTGGGTTTTTTAATTAATTAAGGGTGATCAAGGAAGTATTTTTGAAAGGAGGGTGTATTTTAATTAAATGACTGGCATGAGCCCACTAATAATTCTGTACATAGGGACGTGTTCTGAAGGGTTTAGTGACTTGCAGGGATGCAGCACCGGTGGAATCCAGGTTGCTGCAGCAGAGTTCTTGCTCCTCCATCCTCCTCCCGGTGCCTGCAGGGACCCCCGAGCGGCCCTTCTGGGGGGGAGTGTTGGCACCTGTAAGTAGCGGGTGTACAGCCGGGCACCTGAACCCGCCGGAACGATAAGAAGTGATGGGTTTGGCCGGTTTTAATGCAGGGATTTTTACCCCCCACCCCAAGCTCCGAGCTTTGCCGGGGCCGCCTTTGCCCGGGGCCGCCCCCTGTCGCTTGCTGTGTCGCGCTCCTCAGTATTTGGGTTTGCGGAGCCAACGCGCCGTCCTGACCCTGCCGCGACCCCGAACTGGCCAGACCGGGCCGGGCTGGGCCGGGGAGTGGGAGGGGAGAAGGGGGGGGGGGAGAGGGTTTTAGAAAGGGGCAGCGCGGGGCCAGAGCGCAGTGGGGCCATGGGCGAGGCGGACGGCACCGACCCTCCGAGGTCGGGCACCGATCCTGCGAGGTCGAGCACCGACCCTCCGAGGTCGGGCACCGACCCTCCGATGTCGGGCACCGAGCCGGCGAGGTCGAGCACCGACCCTCCGAAGTCGAGCACCGACCCTCCGAGGTCGGGCACCGAGCCGGGCGAGCCGCAGAAGCCTCCCTACTCCTACGTGGCGCTGATCACCATGGCCATCCGCGCCAGCCCCGAGAAGCGGCTCCCCCTGAGCGGCATCTACGCCTTCATCGCCGAGCGCTTCCCCTACTACCGCGGCGGCTCCCCGGGCTGGCAGAACAGCGTCCGCCACAACCTCAGCCTCAACCCCTGCTTCCGACGCCTGCCCCGCCGCGGCTGCCGCGGCGGCGACTGGGCGCTGGATCCCGCTTTCCGCGACATGTTCCCGGAGGGCGATTACCGCCGGCGCCGCCGCCGCCCTCGCTTCCCGACCGCATCTCCTCCTCCTCCTCCGCCGCCGCCGCCGCCACCACCGCCACCACCGCCACCACCGCCATCCGCGGAGCCCTGGTCACCGCCACCACCGCCGCCCGCCGAGCCCTGGTCACTGCCACCACCGCCGCCGCACCCTCTGCCTCCAGGGCCCTGGTCACCGCCGCCCGCCCCGCCGCATCCTCTGCCCCCAGAGCCCTGGTCACTGCCACCACCGCCGCCGCATCCTCTGCCCCCAGAGCCCTGGTCACCGCCGCCCGCCCCACCGCATCCTCTGCCCCCAGAGCCCTGGTCACCGCCGCCGCCCCCGGCCCCCGCAGGGTGCTCACACGGGCCCTGGGCAGCGGTGACGCTGCCCTGCGGGTGCCTCTGCCCGGAGCTGCCCGGCTGGGCTCCCCCCGGGTACCCGGGGCCGCCGCAGGGCTACCCCGCCCGGCCGCTGGATGCGGGGATGCCCTGCGAGCCGGGCGCCGGGATGTCACCCTCCTTCAGGTGAACCCCCGGCCGGGCTCGGGGCGCTGCTGCATCGCCGCGGGATCCCCGAGAAAGTGATTGAAACCCACTGGGTTCCTGAGAAAGCGATTTCAAACCTCCCGGGAAGCGCCGGAGGAAGAGCGGCGTGAAAAGTAGCCCCGCTGCGGTGACTTGAGATGCGCCTCTTGTCTCGCTCCTCCGTGCCCCGAGGAGGATGAGTTCCTCTTTTCCACTGCTGCATCGGTTTGGATTTGGGGAAGGGGGGGATTATGGTTTTGTTGTTCGAAACTTCAGGCAGGGAAGAAATTACGGGTTTTGATGTTTGAACCTTCAGGCAGGCTGAGAGGGAGCTGCAGAACGCGGGCGACCTCTGAAAGTACACGAGGAGGAGTCAGGCACGTGCTACTCCTCGGTTCATGCAGGGAAGTTATTTTTTTTTTCAAGTGTCCTTAATTTATTTTGAAGCTTTTCTTTCAAGGTTTATGGAAAAGCAATATATATGTTGTGGGGTTTTTTTTGGGGGGGGATTTTTACCAACAAACCCCAAAGGTATTTGGGTTAATACTGGAAACCTTGTGGGTTTGTATTTGAAGTGAATTTATGTGGGATTTTTCATACGGGTAGTTTTATATTGTTGCTGGTTATGTATGTTTGCATACGTTCATTGTTAACAAGTTTCTTATAAATTACTATGTAATACTGTTTTCCCTTTGGATTTCAGAGGGAGTAGTTTTTATGCTTTTCTCTCAGAAGGAGGGTTCAGAAACAAAATGTTCTTCCAATAAGAACCGCGTTTTAAGGGAGAGAAGAATTCAAATACTGTTATGTGAAGAGCAGCACTTATTGTATGTTATATTAATAGGTAGTATTTTCTAAGAGTTGTGGCTTCAAAAAGTACTTAAACTGTTTTGATGCTTTTCTTGAAAGCAGGTACAACTAAAATCCAGTTTTATAGTTATTTTACATTTTTTTATAGTTATGAAGTGATTCTGAATGTCATCTTTAAATTCTACCAATGTGATATAAACAGTGAAATACTGTTAGATTTAGCTTTATGGTTGTTTTTACAGGGTGTTAACACATTAAAGATGCTGCAGTTCTGTCACGTTTCAAGTTGTTTTTTCTTTTCATCTCATTTTTCATGTAGCTCCTGATATCTTTAAACACCAAACCATTTGCTATATTTCGAAGAACGGTATTTGAACTCTGATTATAAAATCGATTAAGTGCCCAAAGTGGGAACGCAGGTACATAAGGATTGCTGTATTTTGAAGCTCTTGGTAACTGTGTGTAACTGAAACAAATTCTTCTGGGGTTTTTGTTCTAATTAAGGTATGGTTCTGTTCTGCTTGGCAAATTTGTAAAGTGCCTGCTGCAGTTTAGAGCATATGTGAACAATTCATAGATGTAAAACTCCAGCTGCTGAATTTTGGGTATTGAGTTTGACCTCTGCACTCCCATTAATTCCGCAGTGCACACGATTAGGGAAATAGGAAGGGTTTCTGAAAGTCTGACTCTCTTTGTGTGCCTCGCACTGGTGGTTTTATCTGGCTTTTTCTGATTTTCCATGGCCCAGGTACAGGTCCGGTACATGCGGTCTCCTTAGAAAGCCGGCGGTGGGCCCCGTGCAGGATGAAACCTGTCCCCGGGATGGGGTTTTAAGAAGGATTCTCTGTGTGTTCTGGGTGGGGTTTGATGTGAAATACCCTCTCTTGGAGACAAGCAGCGGCTATGCCCGTTCCTGAAGGGCCAGTACATCATTTTTCCCAGGGAACCTCGCATTATCCAGGGGCCTGGGCCCAGCTGGGGGGTCTGTGCCCTCCCCTCGGCCCGTCCCCACAGCTGTAGCTGCTCTGTGCTGATGAGGGCCGGGAGCTCCTCCACAGCCCCGGCGGGTCCCGCTCAGCTGTGCTGGGGCCGGGAGGGCTCCTGCCCCCGGGACCTGCTTTCTCCTCATCCCGGGGGGTGTTGTACCCCTCAGTGCCCGGCCCAGAGAGGGTTCTGGGGTGAGGCTGCCCGTGGGCTCGGCGTTCAGCTGGCAGGGATGGGCTGGGGTAAGTGATGGCCCTTTCTTTACTTCCACTGTGGGACGCGGTGTGAGGGGAGCTCTGCCTCCCTGCCCAGGGCGCTGCCCGGGGCGGGCTCCAAATGCAACCACTGGGCTGCTTTTGTGATCATTCCTCTCGAAAATAAGGGATTATAACGAGAATTTTATAGCCTGGTGGTTTATGGGGGTGGGGTGGGCTGTGCGCCCGTGGCTCGTGAGGCACTCGGGCACCATTGGCTTTTGTGGGAGCGGAGCGAGGAATTTCTCGTCCATTTCTGTTTTGTCTGTGCTGGGGTAGCAGCGACGCAGTCCAGACAGGCAGAACAAATAAGTAAAAAGAAAGCGATTTTCACATATTTGAAGCCATTTGCAGCAACTTGCGACTAAACGAGCGCTTTACAGTCTATTGTCTGGCTCCTCGTGTAATCCTACAGGTAGCAAGACACAGACATTTCGTACTCATAAGTGGACTTAATTGCTGGGAGGTTGTGGCTTTTTTTTTTCCTATTGTTATTTCGCGTTTTAACTTTGGAGACGCTGAGCCCAATGGAAATCATTATCGAAGTCTGGCCCAAGGTTTTCAAAACTAACGACTGAACAATTTGGGTCCTGGATTTTTGAATATCAGGCGTTTAAAAGTCTTTCCATTTGGGATTCTGCAGTTGCACCTTAAATTTAGGAAGAGCTGCTCATCCCTTGTCTTTGATGATTTAGTAGATGGAAGTTCTTTTTTTCATATCGGAGATCCTGCAAAGGCCGTCTTATCCTTCATCTGCCTGTGTGAGATTCAGTCGATAAATGAACTTCCCAATTACCTCTAGCTTTTAGAAGTATTGGGCAGGGAGGTGTTTGGGGCTGGGGTATTTTTGTGGGGGTTTATTATGTATTATAGATGCAGGAATTTTACGTGGGTCCAGCTCTTGATTTTCATCTCTCAAAAAGACATACAGGTGTGACAGGCTTGTGAGGACATGGGGAAAAGTCAAGAGCTTTGTCTTCTTTCTCCGATGCGTTCGTGTGTCATGTTGACCCTTCATTATTTTTAGCAGCCTGTTTAATTGGTAAAGAGTGATTTATTTGCCAGCACTTTATGGGTTTCACAGCTTTTCCCTTTGCGATTGCCACTAGATGGGGCGTTTGTGCCAGCATCCCAAAGTACGGATCGGTGACCGAGGCTAAAGCGGGTGTTCAGTGAAAGCCCGGCATCTCCTCCACCCCTCTGGAGAACGAAACAATAAATGCATGTGGGAGCAATGTCAGAGAGAGATTCTAAACTCTGCACGTGGAGATGGGAACGTCCCAGAGCCATTTTTACCTGCAGTGAAAGGTGCGTGTTCACCTCCTGCTCCCCTCCCTCCCAGCAGTGCCCCCGTCATGCCAGGCTCGGATAATTTTTTTTAGGGTGATGAGGTCCATGGGCAGGTCCAAACAGATGCAGGTGGAGTTCATGGTATTCCTTATAAAACTAGTAGGGATGCAGGCGACTGAGCAACTTGTGGGTCAAGTATTTGTATCACAGACCACTTTGTGAAGAGTCTTGCTCTTCCTCCTCTTATGCTTCTTTTTGCTCCTGCTTTATCCTTTTTTTGGGAGCACGTTTGGATAAGGAGCCACAGCCCCAGTAGCAAATGGTTCTCTCTTACATGGATGCCCTGACGTGGATGCCACAAAAGAGTTAATTGTCTCTTTTAGCTGTCTGAATTCTCCAGAGGCTCCTTCAATTGTCAGCGGGGATGGGCCCTTCCAAAGAACTATTCAGAGCACTTAGACAAAGGCCCTGCTCTGTATCTCACCACGTGTAGGAGCCTCTCTCTCTCTTCATTATTTAAAAAGACAAAAAACCCCAAGAGCCTGGGAAGACTGGCTACCTCTGCCAGCGCAGGGAGGTGCTGGGAATCCCCCTCAGCCTCATGCAGACACCTCAAACTCCCCCCCAGTCCCTGCCTTGCCTCTGTGGCTGGAACAGAAAGCTACAGCATGGGCTGCACTTAGACCAGGGGATGGCTCCTGGTTTGCTTGGCTTTCCTGGCAGCTCAGCAGGACTGGAGCCTCCCCTGTGCTCTGCCTCCCTCCAGCAGCTGAGGCTCTTACTGGTAAGCTTCTCTCTTGGGCTTGTGGCTGCATTTAGAAAATCTGACCTCTGCTTATTTTTCTTCAAGTTATAGCCTTAGGTCAACATTCTTATAGGTTTTATAAATAAACCTCAGCCCAGCACATCCCTCTGTGAGCAGTGCAGAGGCTTCGGGTATGGCTGAGGAAATACAGCATTCCCCTTTCCCACCAGTAGATATCAGACTGTTTAAATCTTTTCCACTGTGTGGCCTCGAGCTTGTCTTCACTCCTTCCCCTCTGGTTTTAGCAATTAAAAATGGGTTTATGTGTTACTAACAGTGGAAGAGGAGGCCAATTTATCTGTGCTTGGTGCTGAGTTAGTACGGACATTAAAGACTTTTGACAAAATCCAAGCATGGCACGGGGAGATGCTGATATTTTAACATGTTAATGCCCATAACTGATGCTGAGCTGTGGCTCACTGGGGGATGTGGGAGGTCATTTTGTGCCTTCATTTTGTGAGCTGTTACCCACTCAGGTTGTACACGCCCGTCCCACCTGCGTCCACTTTGAATTTTGAGCGCTGGTCTCCAGAAGCACTGGCCAAGCTGCCTTTGGTGTTGGGCTTCTTCCTGGCTTTCAGCATCACCAGGACTCCCAAGGTGTTGCTTCCTTTCCTCTTGTGTTACCCAGGTAGCTGGTCACCACAAGCACAGGTGTGCTTATGGGCAGAGACAAAGCTGGGAGTGCTTCCCACGAACTGGAAGTGGGATATTTGTGTGTTTGTCAGCAGTTTGCTTGGCCTTTCTGTCCCCTACTCGTGTTTTTGTCCCTAACTGTTGTTTCCTCATCTCCATCCTTTTAATCTCTCGGTCTTATGTTGGAGACTGAAGAGATAGGGGTGTGAGCAAGAAAGACTCCTGCAAAATGGAAGTGTTGGTGTCAGGATTTGCCAGCAGAGGGTGAGTTGGGAGAGCTGTGAATGCAGAGAGCTGCAGCCAAGATGATCCGCTGTCCTTCTTCAATAGGCAGAGACTCGGAATCCTTGTCCTTTAAACAGGTTATCCGGGCATAAAACGCTGCAAAGAGCTGTTTGATTGCAGCAGAGCACAGACAGAGCTCAAACAGCTCTGCAGAACGGTCCTCAGCAGATATTTGAAGCTGCAAAGCTGAACTTCGGAGGACAGAGGAGTTACCTGCTTTTCCGTGGAGTGTAAAATGGATGCAGAGCTGCCTGTGGAGCAGCGCCTGTTCAACCTGTTCCTTTTATTCCACGTCCGTGGGACCCCCCCCATCCCCCCAGGACCATCAGAGCCCAGTGAGATGTTCCCCTTCACCCTGCTGGGTTTCCCCTCCCTCTGTGGCTCTCCGGCCACGCGACTCCGTAACCAGTTTCCCGTCAAGAGCAAGTAGAGCATTTCTCATCGAGAATGCGGCCTGTGGTGAGGGGGTGGGAAGGGAAGAGGGGGTGGGGTGAGTGCTGGGGGAGCTGTTGCTGGTGCAGTTTCATGCCTCAATCTGTATTCTCTCTCTCCTCTGCATGGCTTCCTGTTTTTTCACACCACTGCTCTTAGAAACAACAAGCTGCAAGCAGAGGGGAGGGCAGGGGTGGAGGTTGGTAGGCTGGAAGAAACCTCTGGAAACACCTGCTGAAGGTCCTGGAAAAGGCACTGCAGGGTTTATGTTTTCCTCCAGGTGGGATCCTGCCATTGTGTCCCACAGAATTGGCTCTCTGAGGAGGTGATGCTGTGTGTGTATGTGGGGTGTGCCCCTCATAAATGTACTGCTTGGTGCTGTGCAGCACAACTATCCATTAATTTTCCTCCTGGGCAGTTGTCCTCCTCACACTGCTCTTGAATGGACAAAACTAGAACGTGTCCTGTGCTTAGGAGTCCTGTGACAATCAGCCAGACGTTCTCAGTGCCAGAACGATGCTGGACGTTGAACCACCAGTGCTGATTCCTGCAGAATCTGGGGGTTTGTGCCTCAAAACCCACCAGGCAGTGTAGGTTTGCTCGGGGGGTGAAATGGGGAAGGCTCTGGTTTGGAGTGCAGCAGTGAGGAGCTGCCCCACCTTCCCACCGGCAGCCTGCACGGAGGCTGGAGGACAGCTCAGGGAAGTGGTTCCCAAACTGAGAGATAGGCAGCAATTTTTAACTGAAAATTAGCAAAGAATTGAAAATTCTCACAAGCTGTGACTTCTGTTTTTCAGAGGCCAACAGCATTCATAAAAACCCAAAGAAGTTGCAGTAGGAACTCTGCTGTCGGTGTAATTCCTGTATTTGCTGCCATGTTTTCCCCCCTCTGTTTTGGGAGGGGGTAAAGGGCCTGTTTGACCATCAGTCAGAAGCGAAATGTGAAGAAAGCTATTTTAAATCTGTAATTCGTCTTTGCAGGTGAATAAGTTGAGGGGTCGAGGGAACTGCTGCACAGTATAGACCTGTGTCTGTGTTCCTGTTCCATGCCATGTGCTTTAGAGAGGCACCAGGAGCCCCGTGCTCTCCTCAGTGTGGCTATTGCAGAATTGAAGATTATTTTTAACTGAAATCAGTGTGTTGCTCCTTTGTCTGCCAGTGGGTCAAAGATAAATTCTCCAGAAGCAACAATTTTTGAGGAAGGGAGCTACAGGACCATGGATACTTTGGTTCAAGGCATGAGACAACTGGGTGTTTCTGAGAT